GTCTTTGCTCTCTTAGTGACCGTAGTGGCACATTATCTATTTCATACTTTTTACACCAAACTGAGGATAAGTGGTTACTTATGGTAAGAAGAAATTTTGAAAAGCTTAATTTTATGTTTAAAATGGTTCAAGGAATGAGAATCATGCCAGCGCACTGGCTTTCTCTTGCGTCTTCATAGGTATAATGAAAGTTCCTTCCAACCACATGTACGCTTATCAAAGTTGCGCATAAGAATTAAAAGCTATGAGAAATAAGCTTTTTGTACCACTTGCACTTCACTGAAGTTCGACATGCCACTGCACTCTTTGTTCTGCAGAAATTGCTCTGGATGATGTTTTGTCTAACCTGATCTTCTGCTTTTCAAGTCTATTTTGTTTGGGTTGCGCTGGAGGGATGGAAATTGTCTTGTGTAAAGTGTTAGTGATGCCAGACAGCGCCGTAAGGGCTGTTCTGGGGCTGTGAAAGTGCTGAAATTTTAGAAAGAAAGAAAGGGGAAGAATAAGATTGGTCTAGGAAGCACTCCTAGAATCGCTTAGCCATCACACCTAGGGTTTGATTTCATCACACAATACATAAGAAAGCTTTAAAGTTCTAAAATTTCTCTAAAATATTAGTATATTAAGCATAAGCATTACATGATTTTATATAAGATTAGGAGATTTCCTAAACCAACTAAAAGCTAAAAAGGAAACTATTAAAATATTTTTGACTTTCAAAAACCAACTTAAGACCAAATAAGAAACAAAAACAAAGACTAATTAAATAACTTGACCCACAAGACGACCCATGGGTGACCCACACAACCCATATTCAGAAATTCTGCAAATTACCAAAATACCCGTAAAAATAATCATAAAATAAAGACACTAATAATACTAGAAACAAAGATTCCGATCAATTTCTCTTTGAAATCATTGCAATGTCCAAATATCATTACTTCTTTGAATTTAGCTTTCCTTGAGCTTTTTATACTCCGCATCAGTTAGTCTTTAGGATGGTCTTTCTCAGTTTGAGGTGTCATTTTCATATATATGGTTCAATTTTATTTTTGTGACTACTTTTCTATTTACTATTATCTATCTCTTGCAGGAGAGGTTTATCTGAGACAGAAATAAGCTTTCTCAAGGAGGTACTTTCTAGTTCCTTTCTTGCCATGCATGTCCCTTTCCCTTTCTTGAGACACTTGTAATGAAGCACGAGTTCATTAGTATATGGAATATATCAATTCCATTTACTGTTGTCATATTTAGCAATTTTCTGGTTTGTGATTTATGGGGACTTTATATTAGAGGCCATAGTTATTTTTTACTTATCGATAAGAAAAGTCTTCATTGTTTCCTAGTATGTTTCTTCTTGTTGCTTTTATAGTTTTTCAGATAGCCAACACTTAATAGAGATATCTATTTAGCAGAATAAGAACTTGCAAGAAAGAATTCTTCAGTCAGGAAGTGTTCCAGAAAGTGTTCTTGGTGGTAAAACCTATCTTATGTCTTTCATTTAATTTCTCCCTGAAGATGTAGCAAATGTTTGCTCAAGTCCAACAGATCAGCAATGTTCTAATTATTAAATATTTTTCCAGCCCTTGATAAGATGAAGAGACCTTTGTATGAAAAGCATCCAATGGCTAAGTTTGCCTGGACAATAACTGAAGATACTGATACAGTAAGTGTTATTTCTTGTTGTGTCTTTAAATATTGTAGTCAGTTTGATTGATGATCAATTCTCTCTCTCTCTCTCTCTGCACACTCATACTAATTATTTAATTAAAATTAGTGATCAAGATGCTCTTAGGATAGTGGGGGAGAAAGGTTTTTACCTTTTAGGAAATAAAACAAGTAGCTTACTATGAAGCCCAATACTTTTGAAAGGGAGTTGTATATGTATCATACCCGTACTTGATACCAATACTCCTAAGATACGCACAGATTCGTATATACTTCCTAACCGTATTCAATACTTGATGTAAATTTTGAGAAGTATTGGATATTTTTCAAACACTGTTTGCCACATGTCCAAAAAATGATAATACCCTAGTGATTTAAGTTTTGGGACACACCTTTTGAAATATGGTATACTTTCATTCCATTGTGAACTTAGCACAGTGTTTTAAAAAGCCCTAGGCGCATCGAGGCGCCAAGGTCACCTGGAGCCTAAGCCTCGAGGCCCGAGGCGAGGCGCAAGTTATAGAAGTTAAGCAAAATATTAATAAAGCACAATTTCCAATATAAACAAATATTTAATATGTATATTATTAATTTTTTTAATAAGAAAAAAAAAAATAATTTTTTAATACATATTATTTAATTTATTTATTATCTATTAATATGTATATTATTATCTATTATATGTATATTATTATCTATTTATTATCTATTAATTTTTTTTAATTTATTTATTTAATATGTATATTATTATCTATTATTTATTTATTATCTATTATTATCTATTAAGCAAAATATTAATTTTTAATATATATATATATAATTAATTTATTTAATTATTATTTTACATATTATCTATAAGTATATTATATATTATATAATAGGCGTGGTATAATATTATATATACTAGCGTATACCCGTGCCTAAAGGCACGGTATAAATAATTTTAAGATTAAAATGCAGTTATAATTTATACATTTTATGTTAAAATTTATGAAGTTTGTGTCATTTTTTTATAAAGATATTGAAAAATATATTGAAATATTTTTCTTCTTAAAGACAACTAAAATATATTGTGTGAGTTTAATACATTTTTTTTTTTCATGAAGACAACTTAAATAATACACACATACATACATTCACCAAATTTTTTTGAAATACAACATAAAATACTATACTCCTTTAAAAAGGTGCTAAAAAAAAAAAAAATATATTGTGTGAGTTTAATACATTTTTTTTTTCATGAAGACAACTTAAATAATACACACATACATACATTCACCAAAATTTTTTGAAATACAACATAAAATACTATACTCCTTTAAAAAGGTGCTAAAAAAAAAAAAACATAAACTTTCTTGCCATGTTACACATAAATGTTAAAATGCCAAATCACTGAAATTTTTTTTTTAATCAGGAACTCCAGATATTCAAAAAAAATTATATGAAAAATATTTATCATATGTACATTAGAATCACACAGCAAATAATGGTACAACTAAATAAATATATTACATTGCAAATAAAATGTTAAATAATTTTTTTTGAGTGTGGATTTAATTTTTTTGTTGCAGGAAAATCAACTAAATAAATCACCCTTACTTTCCTTTTAAATAGTTCCAAACAAATAGTTCCTTCCCTATCACACTAATTTTTATAACACAGAGCACTAACCACAAACTAAGTCCCAAATAACCCCTCTCTCTCTCTCTCTAATACAGTCCCTTTAATTGTTTTGTTTTTTTACACAAACACATTAAAATGATAAATTAAAACCGGAGCAAAATAATTGTCCAAATTTGAACATTTCTCTTTCTTAACTGACTTCAATTTTATAGAAATGAAATTAAAAACAAAATCAAGACCCATTATAATCATAAATATTTTGAAATTCACCATTTATGACTTGGAAAGTCCAAACATAAATTTATGCCCAAAAAAATAAAAATAAAAACAAAAATTCACCGGACAACAAAGCCATTTTATAAGCAATAATGAATAATTATTTCATGAAGCAACTAAAGTAATACACACATATACATTGACCAGAATTTTTGAAATACAACTTAGAATATTATACTCCATTAAAAAGGTGGGGAAAAAAAATGAACTCTCTTGCCACATTACACATAAATGTTAAAATGCCAAGTCTTTCAAATTTTTCTTTTCATTAGGAACTCTAGATATTCAAAAATAAATAAATAAATAAACAGTCCCTTTCTTTTTTGAATCACACAACAAATATACTATATTTGAATGGTACAATTTTTTTTTAATTTTTTTTTTTATAACAAAATGTTAAATACATTTTTTTGGGTTAATTTAAATACTTGTAAGTTTAATACACTTTTTTTTTTTTTTTTTTACTAAAGTAATACACACACATACACATTCACCAGAATTTTTTGAAATATAACATAGACTATTATACTCCCTTAAAAAGGTGCAAAAAAAAAGTTGTGTGGGGTCATTCTAGAATACAGAGCCTTACCATATGTACATTTTTTATATTAATTACATAAATGTCATAACTAAATCATTTTCAATCATAACTTCAAAAAAAGTGTCACAACCAAACACCACGAAAATATATCCAAAGTCATTTTCGATTATAACCAAGATCACCATAGGTCATAACCAACAAAATAATAATCCTGATAGTAGTGTCTAATCATCACCAATCATCTCTTCCACACATCATTGCATCTAAAAAGTAAGTCTAAAAAATAAGCTTCTATATCATTTTCCTAATCACAACAGGTCATAAACACCAGCCATGACCAAGTCATAACATAGGAAGTAACCAAAAGACCACAAAATCATAATTTGGCATATGATGTACTATAAAATTTTCTTCTCAACTAATCGACAATTTTGAGAGTATGTTAGATGTTACTTGGATTTTATAATTGAAAAATGTAAACCATCAAGAATTTTGTAACCAGAATATTCATTAAATTTTGAGAATAAAGATTAGCTTTCCAAGACACATTGACTGCTGCTTTTGAAATGAGGCTAATGAGAATAAAATTCGTAATTTTGATCCTCTACAAATGAGGCTAATGAGGCTAATTTTGATCCATTCATATATTCTGAGTAAAATGTGTCGTGTACAGTGACGTCCAAAAACACCAATGTTAACTAAAATATATTTTGGCTAACCACAAATAAGACAATGTCATTATGTGAATTAAAAAATGACATCATAAAGACATAAAGGATGTTCAGTAGAAACTTAAATGGGAAATAACAATCACAAAAAGAAATAGAAGAAGCACAATTCAGACATCTTGAGCAGCATCAGATATATAATTTGAGGGGGGAGACAGAAGGAACAATAAAAAAAAACTACATTAAATATATAAATATCTGTTCTGCCGAGGCCGTAGAGATTGTCTTAGTGGTATTTGAGAAGAAACAATTTCCTCGTCCACTGTAGGAAAAATAAAAGTAATGCACAACATAAAATATTAGAAGGAAAAAAATAAGGTATACAATAACCAAAGCAAAGAATATAGATAGCACTGAACCTAGACAATGAAAATACCTTCCCCTGTGCTATATCCAACCTCTCCTGGTAACATTGATCTGCTTGAAGAACTTATTTCTTGCCTTGTCAGCATTCTTAGTTCTTCATCCTAAAGTTCCTGTTGCCGCATCCTAATGTTTGCTTCTATAACGCTTTGTTCTTCCTATTAGAGCACACATAATGGAAATTTGCTATTCTGAACATATTCAAAAATTCCCTTTAATAATAGAATTAAATAAAGGATACTATGGTAAAGAAAATCTTACAATTTGCTCGATCCCCTTTTCCTCCTTTGTTTTCACCCCACAATACTCCACCGCATAGTTCAAGGTTTTACAGAATGGACACCTCATATGGTTAAAGAATGCAAGTATAGAACATGAATTTGGAAGAAAGAATCAGAGATTCTCTAAAACATAGTAGCTGAAATTATCACCCAAAATTGTAGAAACATAGTTCATACATCATAGACTCAAGGATACTAAGTAGGCCAAGTCGAATTCGGGGTCTTCATCTGCAGAAAACACTCTATTGCAAAGAGAAAAAAAAAAAAAAAAAGAAAGAAGTATCTGAATTAAAATTACAATAATTAATGACAAATGTTATAAATAATAAGAACCTGTACAAATGCCTTTCGTGCAACATCTTGAGCGATTGAGACTTGGATAATACTGAAAGTTTTCAAACCACACAGAAAAAAAGTATACAATTAGAAACTTCAATAGTAGCAAGAATAAAACCAAATGCAAAATTAGATTGCAAACTTAGGGTTGCTATAGTTTCGGTTCGTAGTTGGTTAGATAAATCAGCTCCTTGAACTGAAACATATAATTAGAACCTCACATACTTCAGTCATGCATTGAACAATTACCTACCACGAATGAAATTTTAAAAACTTAGTACTTTTTTTTTCTTGTTTTCACTCCAAATGAACCCAACCCATGTAACGTGCAGTAATTTAGCCTCATCAAGACAATGAACTTTACTTTACTTTCCGCAAATTTCCTTTTGCTTTACTCAATTTGCTATAAACTAAACAGAACCCAAATGAAAATAATTCGAAAAAGCAAACAAAATGACAACTTCAGAATTGAAACACAAACCAAAAAAGAAAATTTGATTACTCAATTTGCTATAAACTAAACAGAACCCAAATGCAAATAATTTGAAAAGGAAACAAAATGACAACTTCAGAATTGAAACACAGACAGAAAATTGGGCCAAATGCAAATAATTTGATAGCTTGAGAATTGAAACACAAACCAAAAAGCAAATTGGGCATTCTTCGAGATCAAATCCACATTCTTCGTCTCCGGGATAGCACGGAGTGAGTTATTCTTGACCACCAAAGATTGAACAATACCAAAATTTTTGACCACCAATTTTTTCTTTAATTATAAGATGCAAACGGTCCACACTTTTTGAAGGGCATGCACCATAGTCTTTCCCGAGTAATTCTTGACCACCAAAGATTGAACAATACCAAAATTTTAAGCCTTTTGCCCTACTTTCAAGATCATGCCGAATAGGCTAGCCTTTTGTGGGCTTTAATCAAGTCTCAAACTATATAAATCAACCCTTTAATGGAAAACAAAAAAACTGATAACAGATTCTTTAAAACTCAATTTTCCTAAAACAGATTCTAGAACAGAGTCAAAGAAATTTTCAGTCCTGTTTTTTTGTGAACTGTTTTGTGATCTGGAAAAAAAAGGAATGCTATGCATTTGCGAAAATTGGTTCTTGAAAGAAAAAGAAACCCAAAAAAGGAAGAAGGGAAAAAAAAAAAAAATCAATCCTTGAAATACAATCCTAGACAAATTTTTTGAATTCAAAATTTTGAATTCCAAAGGAAACAAAAACAATTAAAAAAAAAATCAATTTTTTTATGGATTTCATCTACGGTAATCCAGAAAAATGAAAAGAGAGCCTAAAATAAAGCAAGAGGCAATGCGTTTCGTGCAAATTCTTGGAAATTCAGGGCAACAGAGAATTCGTAACTCCAAACAATCAATCATAACATCTAAATTCTTTCTCAAATCAAGAAATTTAAACACCAACTTGCATACCCAGAATCTTAATTATATGTAAAGGTGTAGAATTGCATACCCAGAATCATCAGGAACAATTCTCAAAATCTTAACATTCTTTTGAGAACCCTTGTAAAGCTCCTCCAAACTACACACCAACTTGTTTTCCAGTGGAGCTGCTTTCCGAATCGTCTGATTTCCATTCGAATTCTTCAACCCATTTTCCCCAAAACGTCCACTCTTCCCTCCACATCAGATCCACCAAAAAACTCCGCAAAATAATTGGTAACCTAATTATAAAATTAAAATCAACCACCGTCCACTCTTCAACTATGCTAATAAGTCAAAATCAAATGCTGTGTAAAAAATTCTAAATCACAGCATTTTGGGCTATTTAATTACAAAATCAAAATCAATATTAAAACAACAATCAATCTTACAATCAAATAGCCCAAAATGTGAGTTCGAGGACTGGAGAGGCAGACACAGACAGAGAGAGAAGGGGGAAGCAGAAATCTTACCTTGCAAGACTGGAGAGCAGAGTCGAGTTCGAGAGGCAGAAGACTGGAGAGCAGCGGAAGAAGGAAGGTAGGAAAGAAGAAGAACAGACAGGGAGAGAGAGATAAAGAGGGAATGGGGCAAAGAGTAGGTGAGAACAGAGAGGGAGAGAGATGAAGAGGGAATGGGGAGGAGACGTGGGTAGGTGAAAGGCTGAGGGAGAGAAATGTTTGGGCGGGAACTATATAGATCTGAGCCATTGATATATATCAGGATTGATATTGGCCATTGAATCAAAATATATCTCACACACATTTTATACATTTTCAAAAAGCCTTCTCTCTTATTATATAGATAAATCAATTATATTTTATATATTATAAGTATATTGTAGATTATATATTATATATTATATAATCGGTATTATATAATATTATATATATATATATATATGAATACAGAAGATAAAAGGGAGAGATAGATCGCGAGAGAGAGAGAGTGATCATGAACGAGAAACGAAGCAGAAGAGAGAGATCGCGACCGCAATCGCGAGAGAGAAGGCAAGAGAGAGAGAGCTCGCGATCGTGAAACAGAAACGAAGCAGAAGAGAGAGAGCGATCGTGAAGCAGGAGCGAGAAGAAGACAGAAAGAAGGGAAGAGAAGATGAAGCAGAAACGAAGCAGAGGAGAAGAAGCAGAGAGAAGAGAAGAGAAGAGAAGAAGAGAAGAAGAGAGCAGAACCTGGGAGTGGAAGAAAGCCGAGGCGCACAAGGCGCTCGCCTTGCGCTTCGTAATAAGGCGCTTGCCTCATTGCCTAGGCAGCGCTTCACCTGTGTCGTCTCGCCTCACCATGACTAAGGCGCAAAGTTGCGCCTCGCCTCGCCTTGAGCTTAGGCGCGCGCCTAAGCGTGCTTTTTAAAACACTGACTTAGCAATCCAAAATGATCCAATTCTTTTTTATTTGCTATTCATTTTTGTAAAGGTTTCCTTAGGACAAAAACAATGTAAATAAAATAAATTAAAATCTAGGGAGAGTTGGAGTTTTAGAAGGAGAAAATGTAAAAAAATAGGTTACAATGCTCCAAGAAATGTTGTTTACATGGTCAATAAAAATAATACTATATTTTATTGTATGTCTAATCATTAAATCAAAATGACTGAGGCGCAAAGCTGCACCTCGCCTCGCCTTGAGCTTAGGCGCGCGCCTAAGCGTGCTTTTTAAAACACTGACTTAGCAATCCAAAATGATCCAATTCTTATTTATTTGCTATTCATTTTTGTAAAGGTTTCCTTAGGACAAAAACAATGTAAATAAAATAAATTAAAATCTAGGGAGAGTTGGAGTTTTAGAAGGAGAAAATGTAAAAAAATAGGTTACAATGCTCCAAGAAATGTTGTTTACATGGTCAATAAAAATAATACTATATTTTATTGGATGTCTAATCATTAAATCAAAATTCCTCTAGGGGTACCTTTAAAACAAATATTGTAATCTACATAAGTTTACCTCTATTGTACTACATTTTAGAGCTTGTGGTGTACTGTTAGCACCTTGATATTTGGGAGCCGGTGGCCTGACACTTGGTGGCACCTTGAACCTATGTTAGGCCTGGACTGTGGCATGAGGGAGGCATGCCAAGACAACAAGGTGGGTAATCAGTTGCGTCGTTTGGCAGCGACATTCTACCCTTGGCCAAAGTATGGGCGGCATGGCACGTGTAAGGCATTAATATGACCTTAATGCTAGGCTACAGCATACTTGGGGGTTTAACATAATCAAATGGCTTGACTTGGTTAGACAGCAAGGCGTGGTTCACAACTTGGCTAGGTAGCGGCGGTTAGACTTGACCAAGGCCAACAAATGGCACTTCAGGCCCTGTTTGGTTAGTGGCTTGAGAAATTCGAAATTGTCTAAGGCAAGACAAAGGCTTCCTAAAATATAGGGGCAGTTATGGGTGGTTATGCATAGAACCAGACATGCTGGCAAGGAAACACAGAAGGCTGAAATAAAGGAGAAGTTGGTGACGGTTATTTCTGTAGTCTTGTTTCAAATCTATGTTAACCCCTTGGCAGTTGGGGGTGTCAACTGCCATGTCAGATGGCATGTGTCCTTTATGTTTTGTAGTCTGTTTGAATTTCAAATGTTCTGATTATAGCCTATATCAGTGTTTTTAAAGGCTCAAGGCGCACTAAGGCGTTGAAGGTCTCTCGGGGCCTAGGCGCAAGGCGAGGCGCGGGCTTTATTGAAGTAAGGCGCACAGTCTTCGTAAAAAATCGAAAAATTAACATAGACTAATCATTCATAGTACTAAGACAATTTTTTAAAAAATAAAAAGTAATCAAGATTCAAGATTCAAGACAAAATATAGAATAATGCTCAAAACCATGAAAGTGCATATTACATAACATTCCAATTTTCAAAGATAAAATAATCCACATTCAATAAAATAAAAATAAAAATATAAACACTAAATATCCAAAACATAAATATCTAACAAATACTAATATTCGTCTTAACACTTAAAAACATCAATGTCAATAGAGAGGGTAGGCTAGGTCGGTGTCAGTCAATCATCATCCTCAACATCAATGGTAACATCTTCTCCATCAGTTGATTTATATGCCTCAACATCTTTCTCCTCTGTGTCATCTGAGCCCGCTTCCTCTTCATCTATTAATTGAAGTGGAGTCAATGTTGATGATTTAGATATCCTCGGTTGTGCCTTTGAGCGTGAACTTGTTGCTCTACTTGCATGGCTACTTTCTTCTACTCCAGAAGCTCTAGCAACAGTGGCCCACGTCAAGCCATCATCATCATCAAACACAAGCTCATTATCTTCATCTGATTCTCCATCCATCCTCCCAAGCAACCACTCATTGCTTTCATCAATATTTTGCAAAGATATGGGATCAAGAGTGTTGCGCATGTCATACCTAAATCTCAATGTTCTATTGTATTTGACATACACTAAATCATTGAGACGTTGTTGTTCCAATCTATTTCTTTTCTTGCTATGAAGCTGCAAGTATTAAAAAGATATTAAATTCTATATAATGAGAATAAAAAATATTTGAATTGAACAAAAAATTAGTTAGAATGTTAAATACTCACATGTTCGAATACACTCCAATTTCGTTCACAACCCGATGAACTACATGTTAGGCTAAGGACTTTTATGGCAAAAGTTTGCAAGTTTGGAGTTTTAGAACCATATGATGCCCACCAATCAGCTGCGATAATCCACTAGTTAGAAATAACTGTTACCAAGTATTGAGTTTTACTAAAAGTATTACTACAAATAAACTCTATGAGTCTATATTATATTATTTGGTGCTCTTGTATTTCTTTACCTAATCGCAACAGACTTGCCAAAAAGACTCTCAGCCTTCATATAAATACTCATATCATTAGTGATCAAATCTTAAACAGTGACATCGGGGACCAACCTTTGCATGCATTCATAAAACCCATTCATCACTTCATGATCTTTTTGCACCTCTAACACTTTTGGATAAAAGAATTCTGGGTTAAGAAAATGCGCAGCTGTATGTAAAGGCCGATGCAATTGGACATCTCATCTTTTGTCGATGATTTCGAAGATTTCATTATACTTCTCTTCTTTATGATCAAATGAACTTGCAATGCATTCTTTTGCCCTATCCATTGCCTCATAAATGTATCCCATGGGAGGTTTCTTCTCGGTATCAACCAATCTAAGCACTTTGACAAGAGGACCTGAGACCTTAAGGGCAAACACAACAGTATTCCAAAATGAAAGCATCAACAAAGTTTGTGCCATTCTTTTACCTTATGGCTCCTTTGCCCATTTGCTTGAGGTCCAGTCTTCGGAGGTGACCATCTTCTCAAATTGTTTTTTTGTTGATGTATCCTAGACAAAGTCAAAAAGGCGGTTGCAAATCTAGTTTTTGCAGGCTTGATCAAATTCTTCAAATTTGTATAGCGCCTCATCATGTTTAGCAACGTAGGCCGATTGTAAATGTAGCCATGTACTGCAATACCCCTTTCAAATGTCTTTTTCAGGTCCAGTCTTCGGAGGTGACCATCTTTCTCAAATTGTTTTTTTGTTGATGTATCCTAGACAAAGTCAAAAAGGCAGTTGCAAATCTAGTTTTTGCAGGCTTGATCAAATTCTTCAAATTTGTATAGCGCCTCATCATGTTTAGCAACGTAGGCTGATTGTAAATTTAGCCATGTACTGCAATACCCCTTTCAAATGCCTTTTTCAGTCTAGGTATCTTGAAAATGTCTTCTAACATCAAATCCAAACAATGAGCAGCACATGGTGTCCAATACAAGTGTTCATACTTAGCTTCCAAAAACCTCCCTATAATGTAACAATAACGAAGAATTATTATTTTCAAGTTTTTAAATTTTAAATACAAAACAAATTATGAGTAAACAATTTTGATGCAAGGAATGAGGAAATATTCTTACCCGCCAACACATTAGTTGCAGCACTATCAGTGATAACTTGCACGACATTCTCTTTTTCAACTTTCTCCACAAACTTGTCTAGTAATTCAAATAGCTTTTGCCCATCCTTTGAATAGCTAGAAGTATCAACCGACTCAACAAACATGATTCCTCTTGGACAATTAACTAAAAAGTTAATCAATGTCCTTCCTCTCTTATCAGTCCAACCATCAGTCATTATGGAACATCCTCTTTATGATTCTTCATCAAATCTTCAGTATGTTTCACTTCTTTTTTGAGTTGGGTAACCCGCACTTCATGGTAAGTCGGTGGCTTCATACCAGGACCATATTAGCCAATGACTTCAATCATTGGTCCAAAACTCTCATAATTTACTGCATTAAAAGGGATACCAGCATCATACATCCACCTTGCAAATCTTTGCACTGCCCGAGCTCTCATTTCTTTTTTGTAAGGGTCATTTGTATCAATTTTGGTTTGTTTCCCTTTTGCTTAGTCTCTTCGATTTTTCACCACTGATTCAAGATTGGGTGTGAAATAAACATCCATAGGCCCTTTTCTCTTTGGCATTTTTGATTTGGATTTGGATGAACCTTGGCTACTACTTGTCACCTTACGGCGTTGATTGACATTGATCTCGTCATCGTCATCGTCATCGTCATCGTCATCGTCATCTTCATCTTCATCTTCAGCTTCATCTTCCTTGTCCATGTCATCGAAATCAGGCAACATGTTCATTTCTTCTTTGTGTGTGTTTTTTTTTACATGAACTCTCTAATCTCTTCTCTTACATGAGAAGGACACTTTGGACAAGCAGTGACATTCCTATAACCTCCTGCGAGGTGTTGTTTCACCCGATAAACACCTCCATTTGATACTTTACCACAAAAATTACACTCGAACTTGTTTAAATTATTCTCCTCTACCAAATGGGCATATTGCCACGCCGGATCTTTTCTATTACCTTCCGATGTCATTTTCTACACAACAAATTTAATAAATGGAAAATAATTTCAGTGTAATGTAATGTGTGATCATGTGATGAATTAATTATTTGTAATTTTTTTTCCATAATAGATAAAGGAAAAAAAAAGACCAATACAGCATTGTATTAATTAATTATTTGTGAATAATTAATTATTTGTAATTTTTTTAGATAAAGAAAAAAAAAAAGATCAATATCATATTACAAATAATTAATTATTTGTGAATAATTAATTATTTGTATTTTTTTTCCCCTAACAGATAAAGGAAAAAAAAAATCAATAGCATATTACAAACAATTACTTATTTGTGAATAATTAATTATTTATAATGTTTTTCTCTTAATAGATAAAGGAAAAAAAAAGACCAACTCAAGTGCATTTTTTTAGTGTATTTATTAATTATTTGTAAATTTTGTAAATTCTTCTATTACATTTTTTTTCAGAGACTCAACTCAAATAATTGAAAAAAAAAAGAAAAAAAAAGAAGCAACAAAACAGAGCACTGAAGAAGGAGAGAGAGGAAGAGTCGAAGTCGAACACACGCACACCTGAAGAAGTCGAAGCCCAAAAAAAAAAAAAAAAAAAGGCAGAACTGAAGTTGAAGCAGAAGAATCGAAGTCGAAGAAGAAGGAGAAGGGG